GGGGGGGGGGGGGGGGCTCTCTGCCCGGTGCCGTGGCACGTGTAAGCACAGAATGAACTGGTCTGCATGCGAACGCACCTTCGAATGGAACACACGCAGAGCTGCACTTCGCAGCCACAGATCTGAAAATACGACTGTAAGAGGACAGATCTTCTTGAACAGAGGCCTCTGAGTGTTGATTAATTATTTGAATTACAAGTGCAAGTAGTCCCAGAGCTAGGCACATTAAAACTGTACAATAATCCCTGTATTGAGTTTGTATCGCTGATTAGTATATTAGCTCCCGCCCACATTTTAATGCTTGCAGTGGGTATTTCCATACTGATGTCCTGGAAGAGCAGCAGGCTCAACTCCACCTTGCTCCTCCCAGCCCTGGTCTCCACTCTATCTACACAGCAGATCAGGGCGCTCTGAAATAAACCTAGACAACATTGCAGCATCTTCTCCAGCCCATCAGATGGCGCTAGGTCAGGGGGAAAAATAAAAATAAACCAATACGTAAAAGGAGAAAAACAACAATACAGACTAGCGCTAACTGGAAAAGCAGCATTTTGTCCTGCAAAAGTTTTCACAGAAAAAAAAAATCCCCTTTCAAACATTTTAAAACATCCTAATGGAACAATTTAAGGGCAAAACTTCTTTCCCCGCCTACATGTTTTTATTTGTTCCCAATTTCTTCCACTTTGGAGACAGTGAGTGAGAAAGGGTTTGTATGCGTCTGTGAAGGGGGGGGGGAGTTTAAGGAACACTTTCACTTTGAAATGTTAATTGAACACAACATATTACTTTCAGAAACGCTCTTACTGTTTTCCACCTGGCAAAAGTTGGAAGGCAGCCAGAAAGTGGAGAAAAGAATGAAAAACACTCCACAGTTCACGAGATTTACAAAATACTGAAAAACATTGGGCTTCCCCCTGAAATTGTTTTGATAATAAATTAAGAAAAAAAAACTTCAGAAAACTTTAAAATATGAAGTCACTGAAATGACGTTTCTTCAAAAAAAAGTTAATGTTCAACTAAGTCCTATTTTCTGACAAACTTTTCATTAGAAAATGTTCAGTTGTCTCTAAGTTAGAAGGAGGGAAGACAGATTAAATAAAACAAGAGGTACCTTCTAGCCTTAAACTTTATTGGCAATGAATATGAGCAAATTACAACAGAAGAAAAAATAATAAGGTGCTTTTTTTTTTTTTTACAGTTAGCTTATAGGACTGACAAAGTCATAGCAAACTTTATAAAACAGAAGGCGCGAACAGCAAATCATTAAATAGGTGAACAGTGAACACTCCATGGCATCACATGATTAATTGTCATTAGTTGTGAGACTTTATACATTTCAATTATTTAGATTCAGCCTCCCGTGGTCTGAACAGATGATGCAGCTAGAAAATACCCCAACTAGGGAAAATACGCATCTTGTCCTCAACAAGAGTACTTGTAACTTGGCTTGCAAAGGAGTCCAAGGGGAATTAAACTCTTAAGCAACATTTGCAAATGAACCTTGCAGCATCTAAAGACACTATGTCTTAGGGTTTGACCACGTTGACCTTTGTACTTATCTAAGGCCATGTGTCTACACTGGCAAATTAAAGCGCTCTAACTTACTGGCTCAGGGGTATGAAAAAACACACACACCCCCTTGAGCGCAGCAAGTTTGAGTGCTTTAAAGCGCTAGTGTGGACAGGCTCAGCGCGCCGCGAGCCGCGCTCTGAGCTATTCCCCTCGTGGAGGTGGATTAGCAAGAGCGCTGGGAGAGCTCTCAGCCAGCGCTCGCGCGCGACCGCACTCACACATCAAAGCGCTGCTGCGGGAGTGCTCCCGCGGCAGTGCTTAGGGAGGCTAAGTCTACACTAGAAAGTTCAAAGTTTCTTTAGCAAAGTCAGGAAACCCACCCGCCGACCCTGAATCGGATTTTGTGGTTTGTTTTGCTCACTATCTAAAAACTTGATCACGGTGAGAGTCGAGCGCAATCGAAAGGGTTCTATTATACCTCAGCTTCTCTGCCTGGAACTCGTAAAGAGGCCTCAATTAAAGTAAAAGGCATCTGCTCTGCCTATGAGTTTGTAGGCAAATTCCTGTCGGTGGAATGCAATGGTGACGCATTGCTACTACAGAGTACACAACCGGATGCCTTCTCACAAGGGCAAACACCGCTCCTAGGCATCTCCACAGCCTCTTCACAGGCGCCTCTATAACTTTTCTGCTAGCACACCTAGCTAGTTATCAACTTCTGGCATGCTTGGCCTTCCTTTTCCAGTCTCAATAAGCACAGCAAGGCCGTAACACTCTCAAACATACAGACATTTCAATTTCCATTTTAACCTGCCTCTCATTTCTGGCCCTCCTTAATTATCTTCTTGGTTCTACAAAGCAGACTCTCTAGCAAAGATGTAGCAACTACGTTTTGATCTGGGAGACAACGCAACACAGTCGACCCTATGCAGGAGGCAGCTATGAATGAGCGTCAACAAAGGGCCCACTGGGGAGTTCGGATCCCGGTCCCATTTATCCTTAACTCACAACTTTGTTGCTCAGGGTTGGGAGACAGCATGAGCGAACAGAGTCTGGTTCTGCAACAGTCGAAGAAAACACACAGCCTGACTGCTTGTCTCTTGCCACAGTTTCCTTCCTTAGGGAGGATGTTGTGTGCGGCTGCCTCGCATCCCTGCTTGCGGTGGATTTTCTTAGCCTGTTGCTGTTTAAGATTGTCTCAATCCGTCTTCAAGCAGTGCTGCCTTTCTGCTCAGCTAGGTCAACTTAGCTGCGTCTACACTGGGGGTTACGTTGGCCTAACTACAGCATTCCGGAGTAAGTTTTAGGCTTTATGTGTAGATCAGGTCTTCGTTACACAACCAGGAAGGGGAGGGCTATACAGGGGCCACAACACAGAGAAAATTAGAAGAGAGGCTTATTAAAAAAAAAAAAGAATCTGTCAAGCTCTATTGAGGATCTTATTGAGCGATGTTTGGAACGTCAGGCAGCTGGGCCTAGAGGCGTTTCCCCAGCCTTTGCCCTTCAGTCCCCCGGCATCGCGTCCTCCCTTCGCATCCCGTCGGGTGTGCTGCAGATCCAGTAGCGCTTCGTGGAGCACCACGACGAAGTGGCAAAGCTGTCACTCAGGTATGCACAGTCGCCTTCTCCTCTTACCGCAAACCTGCGACAGAGACACCCTGGCGATAAGTCAGGCAGGGGCTGGGCATTTGCCCGGCCAGTTGGTCCCATCCAGTGAAACCCCTCGAGATCGCCCCCTTCCTGCATCACTCATTCCACTCAATTACAGATCTCAAAGTCACAATACTCCAACAAAAAAACTTCAAAACCAGACTCCAACGAGAAACTGCAGAATTGGAATTAATTTGCAAACTGGACACCATTAAATTAGGCTTGAATAAAGACTGGAAGTGGATGGGTCATTACACAAACTGTTTCCCCATGCTAATGTTTTCCCCCCTCTGCTACTCACACCTTCTTGTCAACGGTTGGAAATGGGCCATCCTGATTATCACTACAAACATTTTTTTTCCTTCTGCTGATAATAGCTCACTTTAATTAATTACCCTCGTTACAGTTGGTATGGCAACACCCATTTTTCCATATTCTCTGTGTATATATATTTTCCTACTGTATCTTCCACTGCATGCATCTGATGAAGTGGGTTTTAGCCCAAGAAACCTTATGCTCAAATAAATTTGTTAGTCTCTAAGGTGCCACAAGTACTCCTGTTCCTTTTGCTGATACAGACTAACACAGCTACCCCTCTGAAAAAAGACTAAAACGCTCATCTCCAGTAGGGTTCAGGAACGGTCCTTTGTCCACACTGGCAATGCAAGACACCTTTTAACATAGCTGGGTCACAAGCCTGGTTATTTCTGCAGCACCGCTGCAACCTCAGGGATTGTCCTGCCAGATTCCTCACCAGCCGCCATTGGCATTAACTCAGCAAGGGCACTGGAGCCTCTCTTCCTACTTTTTTCGCTAGGCAGGCGGAGGAAGGGCTAAGGTCCAGATTTTGAAAGTTATTTAGGTGTTGCTCCTCTGCTCAGCATTGCAAGGCCCAAGTGACTTAGGAGCCTATGCAGTGGCAGATTAGCCACTGGGCCAATGAGGCCCTTGCCTAGGGGTCCCTGCAAATTGGGGGCACCCCTGTGCCCTGCCCCACCCGCCCAGCATTCCGGCTGGGGGGCGGGGTCAGGGTGTGGAGGCTTCCTCCCCCCACTTCCTAGCAGGAGCGCCAGGCGGATGGAGCGAGGCAAGTCCCCGCGCCCTGACCCCATTTCCCCAGCAAGAGCGCTGGCGGGGCCGGGTGGGACTTCAGGCGGAAGGGGTGGGGAGGGGCTCCCCACTTGCTATGGCCCAGGGCCCCACAAAACCTTAATCTGCCTCTGAGCCTAAGTCACTTCTGAAAGTGACTCATGTTCCTAAGTTATTTCGGCTTTGCAATGCTGGGCAATGCTGAAGTACCTTTAAAATCTGGGCTTAAATCCCCACTGAACTTTTCAGAAAAATACCTGGGTCTTTCATTTCCACCTAAGGGTGGGAGCATTAGAGGGTGGGAGCCTGGGGAAGGGCATTTAGCCCGCTGATCTGCTAGGTCAGCAATGGGGGATGAACCCCAAAGATCGGGGGAAATGTCACAAAGGCGAAAAGTAATCAGTGTTTTGGGAATAACTAATTTTTTTATCTGCCTGAATTCAGCCCTTTTCCCATTTGGAACCCAACAAAGTGATTAGCTAGAAAAGGACTCACAGGTTGTTGAAGTGTTCGCCATTCACCCATTGCCAGGTCTGCGCCGATGCTCGCTTCAGGCCAATCCAGAACTCAGAGACGCCTTTATATCGCATAACGAACTCCTTAAAAAAAAAAAAAGGCACATTATTCATTATAATCTGTAATGCTGTTGAAACGGTTAAGCTATTTTCAGTCACCACTTCAAGGGGGCCTGTTGCCTGAAACAAATCCATTTCCTAGTGTAGATGGTCCCTGAATCTGCAGAGAGTCTCAAACATTAGCTATGAACTGCACACTTCAGCTCCACCCGCGTTAACTCTGAAACCTAGTGATGTCTAACTCAACGTTAACTATTTTGCTGCTAAATGTTTTAATAGTGACATCCAGCTAACACGCTTACACTGTTGGGCATAGTGGCAGGTATCTGGTGGGGAGGACTGGAGCGGATATCTGGTGGGGAAACTGGGAGGGATATCACTTGTCTGCAAGACTCACACTTTAAGGCCAGAAGAAACCCTCATGATTATCTAGTCTGACCTCTAGCACATCAATGGCCACTGAAGCTTGTCCAGGCACTCCTGTAATAGACCCATAACCTCTGGCTGACTTACTGAAGTTCTCAAATCATAATTTAAAGACTTCACGTTACAGAGAATCATTTACTCTAGTTTAAATGTGCAAATGTCCCATGCGCCATGCTGCAGAGGAAGGCAAGAAGACCTGCAAAGTCTCTGCCAATCTGACCCACAAGGAAAATTCCTTCCCGACCCAAGAGATGGTGATTATTTAGACCCTGAACAAGTGGGCAAGACCCACCAGCCAGACACCTGAGAACAAATTCTCGGTAGTAACTCTCAGCCTTCCCCATCTAGTGTCCTCAGAGACGGATTAAGATTTATTGGGGCCCAAGTCCAATTTTATTTAAAAACCCTTTGTAGATCACCATTAAGAACTAGATAAGTCCCAACAATGGCTATTAGCCAAGATGGGCTATTAGCCCCAGGCTTGCGACCCTAAACCTCTGACTGCCAGAAGCTGGAAGTGGAAGACAGAGATGGGTCACTCCATAATTGCCCTGTTCCATACCCTACCCCTGAAGCTCTGGGAAGGGCCACCACTATAGGCATCTCCTTGGTGCCTATATCAGTTTTACTTTTTGTTTTTCCTTACCAGGTCTTTCTGGGTGTCGATCTCAGCCAGGGAGGCATTGAGTGAAGAGCAGAGGCTCTGGCTGGAGTCCCAGGTCCCCTCGGCATCAGAGAAATAATAGCATTTCCCTCCAAACCCGACCCAGCCATCCGGGCAGCAGGCAGCGGGGCGTTTTGCACTTAGCTGGGCTGGGGCATAGAATTGAGGCATCTTGGACTCGGGTGGAGATTTCCCTGAAGTTAAGAGAGTAACAGTGATAAGAGACGTGTCCCTTTGCTTTTCCTAAATTCAAGAGAGGAAGCTGATAAACGTGCCACCTTGCGTATCGTGGGTAGCACCTTTCTGTGCCAACGAATCAACTGACATTGAAATGGGTCATGTACCAGGTACAAGCCCAGATTTGCCTGTTTAAAGGTGCTTTGGTTGTTTGCTCAGGGCTAACTTGTCCTCTCGTCTAGCACAGTTGCCAGCCGTCCTCTTCCGGCAGCCTTTCTGCGCGGCTGCCGGACGTTTCAGAAGCTTTCAGGGCCAGATTTGCACAAGCTCTCAGCTCCCACTGACACACCAAAAGAAGCCGCTGGATTTTCAAAAGGGCCCGGCACGTTGGGTCCTGAACATCTGGCCCGGAGCATTTTAAAATCCGATCCCAGGAGTCTCCTAAGCCTTCCTGTGGAGGGACCGTCCCCACGAGCAAGGGAAACACTTTCAGGCAGACGGGATGTTTTAAGCTAGCTTCTCTATGAAAGTATGAGAGGGGGTAACCAAAGGGACCAGCAAAGGTGGTTGTAGGAAGCATCGCATACATGTAATTTCAAGCCAAACAGAGGCGACTGGTAACTGCAACTGCTGGCTGGTGAGGAAGGGATGCGAGTCACCTGGCTTCCCCGTGCCCTGGGCTGCCAGCCCTGTCTCGCTTCCCTGCTCTGGGTGCCACCCAATGGGGCTCGGCGGGAGCGCTCGCTGCTGGTGCCTTTCGCAGGCATGTCCCTCTCACCCGTGCACCCTGACAGAAATCTGAGGGGGGCATCTGATCCCACATGCCTCCCCCCACCTCACGTCGCCTAGGAGAGAACCTGTGGCTGGGGAATGGGAATGGGCAGTGATGGCCGACAACTCACCGGGCAAAAGTATCACAGGAACAGCAACAATCACAACAACGGCTGCGAGTACAAAGCCAATGATCAGCAGGACTCTCCACCCAACAGCTGTCCTGTGTTTCAGGTGAGGCAGGTCACCTGAAAGAGAACAAAACCCGTTCATGGCACCAGATGGATTCAGCACCATCAGCAGTTATGTTGCCAGAGACCAGGTAGCATTCCATTAGCCGGCCCATCGCCAGGGCAACTCGCTTCCCAGGTGGAGAACAGATGGTAAAATATTAATGCTGCTGAGAAAGTGCTCCTGGTACAGAGCCCCTCACAGTCTGATGCACAAAGGTCAGTGCTTCCACATTTAACACAAGGAACCAGGTTCACGTAGGGTTGCCAACCCTCCAGGATTGGCCTGGAGTTTCCTGGATTCAGCATCAATCTCCTGGTGACTATTGAAAGCAATCAGGGAGATTTTAATAGGATCTTTGAAAAAAATGGCATTACATCATGGGGGGGGGGGGAACGACTCCCGGAATAGCTTCAGAATTGGCAACCCTAGGTTCATGGATAGCAGCGGGAAAACTCTGAAGAAATCCCAAGGGGTCACCAACTTTGCACTTCCACAGCCCCTTCCTTTCAATGCTTGCAGACCTCTGCCATCACGGAGCTTATCTGCACACCCGCTAGGCGGTATCATCGCCACCACGTCACAGCTGGCGAAACCGAGGCAGAGAGAGAGGCGGCTTGCCCTGGATCACAATGAGCCAGCAGCAGATACATGACGCCAAGTCTTGTGCCTTAGCCACAAGGCTCTCCTTCTGCCCCGTTTCCTTTTAGCTTCCCTAAGGCACCTCATCTGATTGTTTCTCAAGTTAGTTCCATCCAGCCAAAATAACAAAGCCACCAAAATTTCAGCAAAAAAAGAGCATTTTCCTTCCCTTCTCCCACACCCACAGGATCCTCAGAAAGCAGATGAGCCAACTCCCAGTTTCGGGACTGCACTGGTCACTCTTTACCAATCTAGAACTGGTCAAAGTAGGACTGAGAGTCAGGGCCCGACTCCGCCACAGACTCCGTATCACCTTTGACAAATCACTTACATGCCTTTGAAACACTTTGTAATATTTACGAAATAGACACTCCAGCAGGAGTGCCGGAACCTTCCCCGCCCCACCTCTTCCCCTGAGGCCCTGTCCCTGCCCCGCCCCTTCCACCAAAGCCACACCTCTTCCCAAGGCCCCGCCCCCGCCCCACCTCTTCCCCTGAGGCCCTGCCCCCATTTGCTCCTCTTTCCCTCCTCCTCACCCTTGCTTGCTGCTTATTTCCCTCCCTCCCCTTCCAGGGTTGGGAGGAACTCGACTGCAGAGCTGGGGCTGGGAGCTGCAGCTGCCCGACGCAGGAGGAGGCGACCCCGGCTGAGTAGGGGCTGGCACGGGTGATGACCCAGCGCCTCCCCCACCAGCAGTAACCGGACTTTGCGGTCGAAAACCAGGCACCTGGATACCCTAAGAATAGATGTGGCTTCCAGACTGTTCCTACTCAGTCAGGCATCAGTTACCTTGTCTTTCACTAAGCCACTGCTCTGAATCCATGGGACCCTCGCCTTTTGTCATCTCTCCTCTCTCACCGAGACAGATGAAGGCTGGGGTGTGGGCACTGGGCTCTGACCAGTTCCTCTCTAGCTGCAGTTGGGTCCAATTTGGAGGCAGCAATCAACTTCAGAGATCCCAGCGCTGGATCCTCTCCCCTTGGCAGCTACTGGACCGAACTGAAATCAAGAGACAGAAACAGTTCTAATTTTCAAGGCTTGTCTGGATTTCTCTGCATCCCTAGTTCCTTCCCCAGCCCTGCCTGCACATCCAGAGGCGTTAGAAGTGTAACGAACAACCTCACATTGCCTCAGAATCCTGCATTTCCTCCCCGCCATTGGACTCCAAAGGGATTTAGAAACTAAAATGGATAGGCAGAGATTACACACGGGGATTTATTCACCCACCACACCTGGGAAAGAACTGCCCCGTCCAAAGTGCAACTAAAGGGGGATTTTCCAGGAAGCCAGTTCCCATATGGAAATGTAACTGGAATGCCCCTCTCCTCTTCAGGAAAGTGACAGAAAAAGCAACCACACGCAGCCAGAGATGTATTTCCAGTAGATGCTGCTTAATAACCACCCTCACTACATTTTACCTGGAACTGATACTCCAGCTGACTATAAAGGTAACTGGTCTGGCTATTGGCAACCGGCTTGACAGCTTAAAAAAAAAAAAAAAAAAAAGGCCGGCATCCCCCAGACCCCCACTCCCTGGGGAAAACCCCGGCTTGCAGGCAGGTTTGCGGGGCTGGAGCCAGAGAAATCACGTCCTAGCGATTCCTTTCCTGGCTACAGCACCACAACCCTGACTTCTGCTTATCAGGCAGCGTCGGATAATGGCAACTTTCAGGCATCAACCAGCAGCTTACTAACAAGCGGAATGTGCTGTACTGCTAATCTATGGGCCTGTCTATATTAGAAAAGTCGGAGCAGTGTAACTAACTCAGTTTTAACATTGATCTTCTAATTATACTAGTGTAAATTCCTAATGTAGATGTAGATTTAAACCAGTTGAAGGAAGACAAACCATTGAAGGGCCGGGAGCAGCAGCAGTGTGCTAAAAGTGAGGGGGCCACAGGCTCCCGAACCATCGCCCCGCCCCCTGCTGTGCCCTCAAAGGCCCTACCCCCACACCACCCCTTCTCCCTGAGCCCCTGCCCTCACACTGCCTAGTCTCATGGAGGCCCAGCCCCTTCTTCCGAGACCCCACCCCCACCCCACCCCACATCTTCCCGAGGCCTTGCTCCTCCGTCACCTTGTGTCCCCAAGAACATGCCCGCTCTTCTGCCCTTCCCTCTATTGCTTGCTCTTACAGCCAGTAAAAAGAGGGGGGCATGGCCCCCGGGTCCCCCAACCCTTCCAGTGACTTTGGCATCTACATTAGGTATTTGCCTCAGTGTAACTAGACCAATTTTTACAGTCAATTTAGTGTAACTATGGCGCCCTCGTGGCCAAGATGGAGTCCGCTGTGCCGGCAGCTCCGGCCAAGAAAAGGCGCTTGCAGGAACGCAACAGGGAAAATGCCTTTCCACGCCATGGGCTTCTGTTCCTCCCCCCCTCTGGACTAAACACACCACACACCAGAGCAGTCCAGTGAATACAGGAAAGAGAAATATTTATTTACAGAGGGATGAATGGAGAAAAACAGAGGGGAAGATGGGGGGTGGGGGAGAGCGGTAAAACGGGGTTATATCCAACACGAGGCCCCACAGGCCCAGAGGTACCAGCGGTCTGACAGGCCAAGCACAGAGCAATGCGTCTACTGAGAGTTCAGGTGATCTGGGCAAAGTTCCAGTCCAGTGGTGAGTCTTGGGTGCTCCTGGTCACCTTCGGCGGCAGTGAACTTTCCCCAACAAACCCCTCCGGTGCCCTCTTCTGCAGCTCTCTGCAAAGCCACACAGAGCGGCAACCTGCCCACTTAACGAGCTACAGCCTCCCTCCTTGTTCCCAATGCAAGGTCACGTGCTCCAGCACTCATGGTCCCACACAGCTCTGGGCAGCAGGGATCCTGGGTCCAGCTCTGGTTTGTCCTTCTCGGTCGATTCCTCCCTGGCATGGCGCTCCTCCTGGCTCCTGTTCTGGGGCATCCCCGGTCGGCCGCTCTGCCCCTTCCGGGCTTCGGGCAGGTTCTCAGCTGCTTCACTACGTGAGGACCTGCTTGCTTGTAGCTCTCTTATCTGGAGCTCCAGACACGCACACACCGTTGCTCCCCCTTACCCCATCCCAGAACCACCAGCTCTTCCACTGCCTCAGGACAAGATTGTAGAGGGGCCAGGCTCTCTGAACCCCAGTGGGGTTACATGAATTACCGGGGTGCAGCTTAAAGGTGGCACCTTCAGCAGCACCTTCACCCTAGCTCCCCTAGTGCCTCACTGGGGTCAGCACTGACTGCCAGGGACAGTGCCTCCTACTGAGCCCCCATCCCGCTCCCTGCAGCACAGCGCTCCCTAGCACCGTGCTGACACTGACTGCAAGGGGAGAGCGCCCCCTCCCCAGCTGCCAGTAGAGGGGAGAGGCAAGGAAGAAAACAGTAAAGTGAGTCCAAGAATTACTTGCTTGGGAGCGGGGTGCAGGGAGGAAGGGCTTCCCTTCCCTTGAAAGTCGATTCTCGAATGCGAAGGCCAAGCGTTCACACACAGATCAGCTAATCCGGAGCAACGGTGCCAGAGTAAAGTTATTCCACGGGGAGACAATCCCTAGAAGGAAACAATCATCTGGGCAGTGACATGCAGTTTTCCACCCTCACACGTGTGGGGTCCATATAATGCCTGCAGCACCGCCCCCCTCTGGTGCCAGCCCCGCCTGCCCAATGCCAAGCTAAGGGCCTCCAATCCCGTGTCCCAACTCCGTGCAAAACACACCAGTCACGGCTGCAGACAACCCCCCCTGGCTCCACAGTTCAATGCAACTCCAGCAGCCTGAGCCCCCCCCCCCCCCAGCCAGGCAACCCAACTCCCCGGAGAAAGGCCCGGGGGAAAATGCACCCCCCCCCCCCACACACGGCAGCAGAGGGGAAGCAGCACCCCCCCATTATTTCCCCCCTCCCCCGGCCCTTCCCCACATACACCCCCCACACACACCCAGGTGAGTGCAGCGAAGCACTGAGACAGCAACATGTGGGGTTGCATTAGGAACCTAATGCAATAAACTCACCCGCCAGGGCGCTGTGGTGGGGAGGCAACCTTTGCAGGAGCAACACAAACACACACACCCCCCTTCGATGGCAGACCGGGGAGACGAAAGCGAAAGCAGCCGCAGCTACGCACTTTATCCAGTGCAAACAGCCCCGCTCCGCTCCCCCCCCCCCCCGCCCCCTTCGCCGAGACCGCAGTTCACTCCCCCCAGCCCAAGGCTTGAAGCGACTCCCCGGGTCTCAGACTAGAATCTTTTCTAGCCAAGCCCCCCCGCTTCTGCAGAAGTCTCCGCTTTTATTTGCTCCTAAGGGGGATCAGCTGCCTAGCTTGTGTCCAGCTCCTTGCACACAACAAAGCCCATTGCATCCGCCATTCCCCCAGCACCCCCCCCCTGTGCCCCGGCCCCCCCCCCGCAACTGCCCCCTCCCTCCCTCATGCCAGGGGCTCTGTGTGCCCCCCACATCCCCATGACCCCTAGACCAGGGGGTTCCCCTTTCTCCCCCCAGCCCAGAGGCTCTGTGTGCCCCTCAGATCCCCATGTCCCTAGACCAGGATACCCACTTCTCCCCCCAGCCCAGAGGCTCTGTGTGCCACCCTCACAATCCCCTCTCCAATGTCACCCCTTCCCATTGCCAGGGACTCTGTTCACCCCCATTCCTACCCCCATCTGTGTGCCCCTCCATGCCAGGGGCTCTGTGTCCCCCCCCCCATGTCCCCTTCCCCTGTATCACTCTCTCTCCCTCTTACCACCATGGCAGGTGTGCTGGGTGTGCTCCATTCCTCCTCCCCTCACCCCAGGACAGGTTCTTTGTGCATCACTCCCCCCTCCCCAGTTCCTCCCTCAGGATTGCAAAGATCAGTGTCCAAAAAGGCCCCAAGCTGACAAGTGAGGTCTGCCAGAGTTTGCAGAGAGCCTGCTCCAGAAAGTCACAGGCACTTTGTAACAGCGGGCACCAGAGCACTGCTGTGAAGAGCAGGGTGTCCAGGGAAAACCCCTAAAACAATCCAGCACAGAGCTCTGCAGGGATGCTAGCAACTAGCCCTTCCATCTTCACACAGAGGCCTCTGCAGGGGTTTAAAAAAACATCCCCTTCCTCCCCCTTGATGGCATGGTGCACATGGAAGACCAATTGTAGGAGGGGCGGGGGGAGGCAGGGTTCCATCTGCCTTGGGTCTTCACTCTGATCAGTGTCTCCCTGCCCACTGCAACCTGTTTTTGAGAGGGATGGGTCCAGTGAAGAAGGTGGGGAACACAACTCCAGCAGGGGGCTCTGTGTGGGGAGGGACCCACCATGCCAACAGGGGGCCCACAGAGAAATCACTAGAGGGTGGCACAGTTCGTTGCTGACGGAGGCCGAGCTGTGCGCCAAGAGAGCATGGCATGTTAAAGGGGCCACCTGCAATATATGTAGGCAGCAGCCTGTCGCATGGAAAATGGCCCTGTGTGGGCCTCAGTTTCCTCTTACTTACACCAATGGACATCAGATCTTTCTGGTTTCCCCCCCAGATCAGTAGGTCTCGAGGGGACTACAATGGTCCGTGGCCCGGTGTGCTTGGCACCAATAAAGACACCGAGGGGAGAAAGCAAGCTAAGTTTATTTCAGAGCTCTGAAATGGCACTAGGAGACCAGCATGTCTCAAATCCAGTGCAACAAATACAAATAACTTTTATCTTTTATACCCCAAACAGTTTCTGTGTAAGCCTTTGTCTGTTACTCCCTCTTACTACTACTCCCACCCCTCCCTTCTCTAGCCGTTACAATTAGAATAGTTCCCATTCGTCTGCTTATCTTTTGGCCTTGCAAGGCCTGTTTACAGCAGCTGCCTGCTAGAAAAGCTGACCCTTACATTTCTGCTTCAGCCTATAAGCAGTTAGCCTAGAAGTAGGTGAGAGTTCACAAGATGGAGTCTGGGGGTTCAGATAGGCCCAGAGCAAAAGAGCTTCATCGACACTTTGGCCTTCCACTCTCCCGAGTTACCTGGTAGCCATGCCTAGCGGACCCCAACACTAGCCATAGGGTTCCCCTTATCAGAGTATCTGAACTCCTCACAATCTTTAATAATAATAATACCTAGCTTGTATCTGGCGCTTTTCATAAAGTAGATCTAGCACTTTACAAAAATCATTAGTGCCATTTCACAGATGGGGAAACTGAGGCACAGGGGAGGGGAAAGCAATTTACACCCCCCACACACACACACACACACTCACCCAACAGCAGAGCTTGGAATAGACAGGCTCGAAAGCTCGTTTCTCTCCCCAGCAGAAGTTGGTCCAGTAAAAGATCTCTCACCCACCTTGTAGATCCTTGGACTGACACGGCTACAACACCACTGCTCAAATTCTGCACAGTCACATATGGGTGGTTCATGTTTTTTGGACTGGCTGTTCCCACCCCTGATAAGTCATAGGGCTGACTTAGTGGAGATGACTCAGGAAGGTCGTAGGATCAGCACAGGATAAATATTCAGACAGACAGGCCATGTGGTGCCAGAACCAGCGTAGTGCCTGCATGAAACTCAGGGCATATCTACACAGCAACTAAACATCCACGGTTGGCCTGTGCCACCTGACTTGGGCTTGCAGGGCTATGTCATTGCTGTGTAGACATCTGGGCTAAGCCTGGAGTTCAGGCTCTGGGACCCTACCGGGTGGGAGGGTCCCAGAGCCAGAGCCCAGAAGTCTACACAAAAATGAAACAGCCCCACAGCCCAAGCCACGAAAGCCCGACTCAGCTGGCATGGGCCAGCCATGGGTTTTCCTTTGCTGTGTAGACGTATACTTACTGGCTTCTGGACCAGCGGCTCTCAGCCTTCCCAGACGACTGTACCCCTTTCAGGAGGCTGATCTGTCTTGCGTGTGTCCCCCCAAGTTTCACCTCACTTAAAAATTACTCGCTTACAAAATCAGACATAACAATACAAAGGTTTCAAAGCCACTGTTACTGAAAATTTGCTTCCTTTCTCATTTTTATCATATAATTATAAATCAATTGGAATATAAATATTGTACTTACCTGTCTGTGTGTAGTCTATAGAGCAGTGTAAACACGTCATCGTCTGTCTGAAATTTTAGTTTGTACTGACTTCGCTGGCGCTTTTTCTGTAGCCTGTTATAAAACAAGGCAAAGATCTAGATGAGCTGATGCGCCCCCTGGAAGACCTCTGCGTATCCCCAGGGTACATACATGTACCCCTGGTTGAGAACCACGGCTCTAGGCAAGCACCAATAATCCCATGGGCTGTGGTATAAGAATTTACATAAAGTAGACTAGAGGGAGAGATTATTGGGATCCAGCACAGCAGATAGACACATAGCAATGCAGTCACACAGCTTCTCTTTCTGAATGCACCTATTTCCTTTATCCTTTTGCTCCCAGCTCGGTTCTCCTGCCAGCTGACACCCGCCCAGACTTCCAGCCACCCAATTTATGCCTTAACTACAATGCTCCAAATTCTGCACTCAGTCCCAACTGTATTAGCCCCACTAAACTGACTCAGGCATTTTGGCTCAGTGTCTCCGGCTGCCTCATGTTATGCTTTGAATAGATACGGTTTGCAAGCATTGTTCTGTGTTCCCACTTGCCCGCATACCTGCAGATCTGCCCTACCTCATGTGAAACTAGCTTGCAAATTAAAATAACCAGACAGCACCTCCCTCCACTGTAAGGAGAGAAAGCAGAGGCAGCAGCCCTGCTGCGGTGCCTTTCCTCAAGAAGCAGAAGAGATCAGGAGGACCCAGGGCTGATCCCCCTAGTGGGCAAAGCTGGGCCCCATGTGGCTGCTTGTTTTTTATTTATTACAGCTGGGGAAGAGGCTGAATTCCGGGTCCCTCGTGCCCAGTGGCCTAGAAGCCTGAGCAGGGCAGATCTGCTCCTGGGAAGCATTTGGGGCAGTTCTCTGGCCTGTGCCATTCAGGTGGGGAGACTAGATGCCATGATGGTCTCTAGTTATTAAGGAGTCCCGCCTTGAGTGGCACAAGCACAGTGGCAGTGGGTTACACAAGCTATTTCCTAGACAGCAGCATGCAGGCTGCTCCAGTCTTGGCTTTGAGAGGGGAGCGTGGTCTAATGGTTAGAGACGTGGTTTCACCCGGGGATCTGGCCCATTGACTCCAACAGAGCTACGGCCACTTTACACCAACCTCTGGGAGGGAATCCAGATCAGCTGGGGCTCCTCCCAGACCTGCAGCTTCCCGCGCGTTATGTTGATCACTCTTCATTCGCTACACGCTGTTCTCTGCTGCTGGCTACGCCCGTCCTACCCTGTGTCCAATCAGAGGAGAGTATGCTAATAACAGCCAATCACCAGGCTTGCAGACAGGCATGGCTAAATCCCGCGTTTTTGATCATGCCTAGGTGCTGTATTGCCTGGCTTGGAATATGGGGTTTGCAGAGCACGCCTGGCTGTTGGTGCCCAGGGAGGGGGAGATGGCTCAGCTGCAGGGGATGCTGCACAGAAAGGGGCTGCCAGCATGTAAGCTGTGAACTTCCTTTGTAACAGTGCCCTGAGAGGGCCTCTTTCCCCTGTTCTGTCCCTCGCCGCTTCCCCCCAAGGGCCAACAGCTCTGGGAGGGCTAGGAGGAAAGTGAGGGTCAGAGCTCCCAGGGGTGTGGGTGCTGCCTAAAACCTTCCATCGTCCCAGGAACAGCTCTGGACTATGCATCTCTCACTCCCAGGCTTTTCCCTGGCCTCTAAGCCTCAGTGAAAGGCGATCTCTAAACTCAGGATTTCTCATTCAACCCCACCAGTTTGCATGGGTGCTTCCCTGCTGGCCAGCAAAGCAGCTTCTCAGTAGGGACTGGAACTAGAACAGAAAACCTCTGCTCTTGGAAGATAGTGGCGCCTAGTGGTTAGAGCGGGGGGGGGGCCACTGGGAATCAGGATTCCTGGGTTCTATCCCTAACTCTGGGCATGGGGTGGGTTAGGGCAAGAGGAGGGGACAAAGATGACTTGGAAAACCATCTTGGTCTGAAAAATGCTGTCCCAGCATGAGTTGGATCCTGCAAACACGTGCGACGTGGGACTTCCCACAGAGTACAGTCAGATCTGTGTTTAGTTTAAGTTTAGGGACATTGTGGGGTGGTCTGCTGGGGGCACAGCTCTGCGCAACTGCTCAGAGGATCGGGACCCAAGTGAGCAATAGTTTCTTATGTGGCCTGGTGTTTGCTGGGAGCTGCAAATCACCCTGAAGGTAAAACTGAAAGGTTGCTGCGCTCTCGCTTTCTTTCACCCACACCCTCCTCCCCAAACACGCTTCCCTGTCTCATCTTGTGGTTTCCTTTGCGCATGTGGAGATCCTGTCAGCTGGCACCCAGATCCAGCCAATGGGGTTGGGTTACGCAAGGTAAGACTCCCCCGTTTGCGTGCCGGCTCGTGCCTCACATCTGCACGAGGCTGGAACCCGAGACGGAGAGGCTGGTGAGGAGATCCCACTGAATGGAGAGATGGTACAGCCCCGGGAACTGAGCTGGCTGCCCCAATGCAGCCGAGAGGCAGCACTTTAATAGCGTTGAATGGCCAAGGTGCGGGCGCCTCCTGTGTGTGTTGAACAGCTGCGATCATTGCACTAGCCTGGATGTGACTTCTCCCCATGTGAGGCTCTGGGCTGGGACACCTGGGTCTTCCACCAACCCCCTGTCTATGGGTGAGTCACTCAGGGCCGAAGATTCAAGAGCTCAGACTGAGAGTGGGGTGTTAATCCGAAGGCTCATGCAGCTGCCTAACTGGGAATTGAGCTACTCTGAAAATCTGGCCTTCTACCGTCCTGTGCCTTAGTTTCCCATCTTTAAAATGAGATACTCCTCTGTGTAGATTGTAAGCACTTTGGGGCAGGGACTGTGTGAGTGAGTGAGTGATCACTATGGGGCCCTGACTGGAGCTGTAGGCTCCCTTGTAATATTAATAATCATAAGTAAGGCTACGAATCTGTCATGGAGCTTACAGACGCTGTGATTCTTTCTTTTATGAGCCCTCCACAACTTCTTGTCGATGCCAATAATTCAACCCCAGGCAGCAGGGTTTGGGCATCCATGAATTATTATTTATTGCCCGTGTCCTGTCCAGAAGTTTTCATAAAAGCCTTGATCATAAGTAAATGTGATTTTGTTTTTTTTTTTAAATCTGTTTTTACTATTGTATTTATCTCTGTGCCTGTCCCTTTTGTCTGTGACAAGATTTCTATTTAGACTATAAGCTATACAGCAGAGGAAGTGTGTCTCATTTATCTTTGCACAGGGGGGCACTGATCTCTGCTGAAGACTTGGTGCAACTGCAATACACACAATAATAAAATCACAGCTGTCTGAACATCATTTTGTTTTTAATTTATTTTTTAACCTATCGTGAATCTTCCTGGCTTCTTCAGAAGCTCCAACGCTCTGTGGAGTGAGCATTGGCTCTAGCTCTCTGGGGTCTCCAATGCAAACCTCTCCCCTATGTTCAGTCAGCCCCCTGCCCCCTTCCTTTGATTTAGCGAGTCGACACTGGCCCATCAAGGCCCATCAAGGCTAGTCCAATATTCTCTAGAATATTGGACTAGCCTTGATGGGCTAGTGTCCTATAGCCAAGTAGTTTTCATCAAATGTCTCCTGGCCACTAGGTGTCAGTATTACCTGCTTTTAGTTGGTTAAGTAATGGTGAAGCCACGAGTATTCTCGGGCTGCTGTTTATAAAGCAAGTCCTACCACCAGGGTGTAAAGTGACTTACATTTAATTCATGCCCCCATCCCCAGTGCTAGAAGCTCAAGGCTGTCCTAGCATGAGCATGCTCCGCTGGCATTCCCGCCGTAGGGAGTCTCACTCCCTCACACCAGGAGCAAATTCGGTTTGTGTTATATAGGGTGACCAGATGTCCGGATTTTATGGGGACAGTCCCGATATTTGGAGCTTTGTCTTATATAGGTGCCAATTACCCCCCCACCCCTGTCCCAATTTTTCACCCTTGCTATCTGGTCGCCCTAGTGTTATAGCATGTCTTTACCAGAGCACCCCCTTGTGAGTCCCTGGGCTTCTCCACCCACCCTCCCGTGCAGTTCTGGGCACTCCATGCCTAAAGCCAGCACAAAGCAACAGAAACTTAACCTCTTCTCTGGGAGAGTGAGTTCAGTCTCAGATCTGCACTCTCTGCCTGCAGGTGAACAGGGCTCTTCCTTTTAAAGCATCTCCAACCAACTGTCTCAGTTTGGACTGACTGGGCCTTCATTAGCTCCTTCCCACCTCTTCTGCCCCAGTGCAGTCGCTAGGAAATCAGCATCAACCTTGTCACACTGCAGGGAATCAAATAACCCCTGGCACAAGTCTATCAACCAATTAAAGATCAGTTGATGCGTTAATCCTTTGCACCATGCTGTTGTCCTCAGTGGGGTCACAGCGGGGATGGAGATGGTCCCAGATCAGTCATGTGTTTCTATTACACCCCTGTCCTGGGGAGCTGGGCTGCCAGGAAGCTGGTGGGGAGAGGAGAGACAGACAGCCCTGGGACTGGTGGATTGGGGTATCTAGGTTCTGTGCATGGCTGCCCAATGATCGGCCGACATCAGCACATCTCTTTGTGGACCCCAGTGTTCGAGCCCCCCAAGCAAGGGAGCAAACCCCACTGCAGACAGATGGGCTGGGCCCCACTCCAGGCAGGAAGCCGCAGTGTTGTCCTCTCCCATGGGTTGTTATTTACACAGGAAGGATGGGCTATGCCCAAAGCGAACCGGCAGGAGAACGTCGGCCAATCAGCGCTGGCTCGAAGGTGAGCAGATGGAAAACAGGCTTCCCACACCTCAGCAAAGGCTGACCCGCAGGAAGCTGGCTTCATCTCAGCTGCCCTGTGACCCCTCACTGTGGTTGGCAGCAGTGGGTGGTAATGCAGATAGGATCAAACTGATCAAGAGTGTGAAACACCTGCCGTGTGAGCAGACGGTAAAGGATGTGGGGCGGTTCAGCTTGGGGAAAAAAAGATGACTGGGGGTGGAGGAGGGGGGGAGTATGATAGAGGTCTATAAAATCATGACTGATGTGGAGTGAAAGTACACACCAAGACTTACCACTGATGGGGGGGCGGGGCGGGGGGGAAGCAGAGAGACCCAACCCCAGCCCCCTCCGCTCTG